GGCAAAGGCGTCGTGAGCTAGAGAATTAGCCAGTTCGAGGTGAGTAATGGTTGTAAATGATGCCCTGAGGTTTTAAAACCCCGGATTGCACATCGTAGTGCTATATTGAGGCAAGATACGCGCTGGATGATGAGTNCCAGGTATAGCAGAGTCCGCACCCGAGTGCTGATTCCTTCCAGGCTAGGCAGTGATTTGGAGTTACGAGGTAGCTGTTGACGTCCGCAACCCCTTGTCTCACTTATTCTCTATCATTTATGTTTTCTTCAGACTGTTGTATTGGATTCCATACTTTGTAGACCTATAGCAAATTCTGTAGTAGCTCATTACTTGTGACACCCTGGTTTGGGCTGTGTCGGGATGGTTCCTGCTGTTATTATCGTTAAATTCCGCAATTTATGAGCCTTATATTATATGTTATTACTGTTTATGATGATTAATTGTTTAAAAGAGGTGTTCCATTTTGGTCTGGCTGGCCTTGTCTTCACGAGAGGCGCCATCACGATCGGGTTCGGGGATTGGGTCGTGACAGTTTTCCAATACATGTTTCTTTCATTACGTTGCTAGTCTTTCTTGAAAATCGTTTAAAAATATCAGTAGTAGTATAACTTGTGGAATAGTTTAACCCTGTCTTCATGTGTTTGGATTTAAGTTAAGATTAGTATGGTATTATGATACATCTACTGTAAGTACACTTTAACATATTAATATATGTTTGCTGAAAATTTCTTTCGACACTTGAATCCAGTTTAACTAGGAGTAGTATATTCATAAAGGATATCACAATGGCCCCCATAGAGTTGGTTAAACTAATCTTGAATGACTCTCACTATTTTATCCACTTTCTGTTACTTTAAATTATTAGTATTAGTTTTTTTGTTTTTTTTTCACTGTTCTTATGTGCTTTGGATGTTATGTCTATTTTGGATAATTATGGCATTTACTTTAAATTTGTTATGATAAATATAAAATCGTGGGGGTGGTTATTAGAAGTTTAAAAGGAATTTTAGTTGAACATGTTCATCGTTTTGCTTTATTTATTTACTTCTTTAACCGGTAGGAGCATGTTAGGCCGACCACATTTGGGTAGTCAAGCCTTAGAATTTTTGTTGGTTTCGAGGCGAAAGGTTGTTCCCTTAGTTAAATTTATCCGGGGAATGCCCTGAAGGATTTGTATATATTTTATTCCGGGGTATGTCCCGAAGTATTTGTATTTGGAGATCGATAATAGAATTCGTAGTATTTTTGTTTTATTTTCCCTTTATTAGGTGGGACGACCTCGAGCTTCTTTTTGATTGTTTATTTTCTTTTGTGTGCTTTTACCTCAATTAGAATATTCTTAAAAGTCAACTAGATCGAGTATGCAACCGTACTAGTTACGGGACTTGGGGAGTGCCTAACACCTTCTCCCCGAGTCAAATGAACCTCTTACCCTAATCTCTGGTGCGGACTTGGTTTTAGAGTCTAAAATGTTTTAAAAGGAAAAAAATCATTTTTTTTAAAAACGTTGACCTGCACACCGAAATCAAAGTCAGGTGGAGACTCTGAGTTATTTCCTTTTGAATACAATTTTGTCACTTTTCAATTGAAAACCCTTTTCGAGCTTTTTTATTATTTAAAGAGGTTTAGTGGAAGTTGATTAAAAAGGGGGTGTGACAGTACTTGATACCGGTAGCAAAGCTCCATAATTACGGGGTCAAGTTCCTCACTCAATGAGAATGGACCCAAGGTAAAGGATACATGTAAACGTATGTAAAACTCTTCTTTGGGAAAGTTACTCGCTCTACCAGATCGGGAGCGATGATGTTCAAATCATGACAACCACAATCTTTCTTTACAACCGGAATGCTAGAAGGATGGATGAAAGAAGGGTAAATGCCAACAGCCCATATGCGGGAGTTAGCAGAAGGAAACTTCTCTTCAAAATCCTTGGATGTACTAACCCTTCTGAGGATAATGGTGCTCACTGTTGGAGGAGCAACATCATTGATGCTTTATTTGTTTTTTGAAGAGCTGGAGTTCTTGGAGGAGGAGTCCATGGTTAGCAAATGAAAGTAAGAGTTCTTTGAAGAAGAAAATCATAGAGGAGCGAATGATAGAAAGAGTTGGATGCAAAGAAATTGAGAGAGTTAAAAAGTGTGAAGTGTAAAAGAAGAAGGAGGAGACGTATAAGTAAAAGAATAGGCGGCTAAAATCATGGTCATAATTACCTCGAGAACTGGCAAAAGTATTGCTAAATCGTGGAGTGATGCGTGTTCGGGGCATTAAATGCGGGGAGACGTACGTCTAATCAAGCGGCAGAAACTTTTCAGAGGAGAAAATTTCCCGCCCAGAAAGGTGTCTTCATCAACTTTTTGATGATACCATGATGTACCACCGGAAAGCAGGGGGACTATCTGTATAGGGTAAAATCGGTTCACATTAAATTCTCGTATAACAGAACAACACGTTGAACCGGAGACAGATGGAAACCAAGACCAGGGACAACAACTCCAATTGGAACCGGAAAGAGAATATTGTTAATAAAGACAAACGAATGCCTGCCACCCGGTGGCATTCAATGAGAAATATTCTGCAGTACTAAATACACAGTCCTTTATGGAGAATTTTGGCATTCATAGCTAGCCGTTTCACATTCTTCAATAGCTCCCATAATTTTCATTTAAGAGGGGCTTGATCCTAGGACCTTGTTTCGTGGGTACAACTATAAATAGAGATTTCAACAGCCTTTGTGGGACATACAAATTTTCTAAAAAAAACTTATGTATATATTATTCAAAAACTCAATAATACTTTATTTCTTGTCTTCTAATACTTGTATTACTACCTTTGGAAGCTCTGTTCCCGGAACGAGAGCAGCTATCTGCTGCTTTATCTCGATTTCAACCCTAAATCTTATATTTTATTTAAGTTATTTATCATTTTAGAATCAAATCGATTTGCTTGTCTATAAACCATGTTACAAATCAATTGGATCATTTTACAGGTAAGCAAAGGATTGACAAGTTTTTGAATTTTGTTGAAGCAATTAATATGAGCTAAAAGTTCAGATATTTTCACCAGAAAATGACTTAGATTTTACCTTTACATTAAGTAAGGAAATCATTTCTCCATTTTTTATATAAAAATAGTTTAAATAATATTCAACAAACCAAACACTACAAAATAGTTTTATAAACGAAAACATCCCATCATCTCAAACACAAGATTTAGAGGTCGCCAACGAAAAGGAGCAATAGTGCATGATTGGGCATACAAACATTGGGTACACCAAATGTTATTAATGGCACCTAATGTTGCAATAATGAACTTTGTTCATTGATGACCAAAAACTCAACTCTAAGAGAATATTAAATTAGGCAGAGAAAATGCAAACAGAGGATTTTCGCGGTTTCAGGGCTTGTATGCGTAAATCCTAACCTAAGAGGAATAGGAGTTCAGCGACATATTATAGGAGTAGTAATTTTATCCTCGTTCTTTTCTTAATTGCTTCTCTTCGAACTAAGAAAGGCTGCAAAAGAAATTTTAGTTGATAAAATACTATACACCATAGAAGAGATCGAAAAGTAAAGACATCAAAAGGGAAAAGTATTACATCATCTGCTTTTTATGGTATCATGGACTATTGATCTGTGCAATCAGGGGCGGAGCTATATCAATCTTAATTTCCTATAAATAAACAGATCAGGACATATTTAACTTACAACTTCAAGAGCTACCTATTTGGATAGTTTAAAATAGAACTCATCGTAGAATAATCTCTATTTCTAATCTGAATCTTATTCTTAATAATAAGGATTTAATACAATAGGCGGTTGGATAATAATTGGTAAAAGCTGAGATTTGAAGTTGACAAAAAAAAAGTAATTGTAAATGAAAATCTGTGAGTATTTCATGAATACTGGAATACTCCATCATTTATAGTTAAATGAGGCTTTTAATTTTCTGTTTAATCTTAAGACATTTTAAGTCGAAAGTCATTAAAAATAAAGAATAAAAGAAAAGTAGTGGTAGGAACTAGAGTAGGACATCTGGCTTTACTAGCTTGCCTTAGACTTAGAGCAGTAATAAACCTGAAAGTAAAATCTGGACAATTTCCTTAAGTGTTGATATGACAAAAGAAGTCAAGAATGATTCTGAAATTGATCATCACGTAGGGTTTGGCACAGGAGATAGGGTCCAGGGACGGCTTTCTATTAGCTGTATGATCAGAATTCCACTTGTCGTTTTCTCTATCGTTACGCATATAAAAAGCTCTCAAACTTCACACTATCACCAAGCCTCCAATTGTATAATATCATACAATTAACAGAAAAACAATGGGCAAATTGACGTCCTTAAAATATTCAGCTGCAATTCTAATATTGCTATATGCCTTGACCTTTTCCTTCTCAGTGAGTGCACGACCCGCCACTTTTCTACAGGACTTTAAGGTCTCTTGGGCCTACTCTCACATCAAACAAATCGATGGCGGCAGGGCCATTCAGCTTATTCTCGACCAAAACTCAGGCACTAATTCATTTTTTTTTGGTTCTGCTTTAGGTTTTATGTCGTACTCTTGCATGAGGTGTAAAACTGATCGTTGATTGATTATTTCTTTCAGGATGTGGGTTTGCTTCCAAAAGCAAATACCTCTTTGGACGTGTTAGCATGAAGATCAAGCTCGTGCCTGGTGACTCTGCTGGAACCGTCACCGCCTTTTACGTAAGCACAGAGTTTGTAAATTTTACACTAGACTTCATGTTCAATAAAAATTCTGCATGACATTTTTTTTTGCAGATGAATTCGGACACAGACAACGTAAGGGACGAGCTAGACTTCGAGTTCTTGGGAAACAGGTCAGGCCAGCCGTACACTGTCCAGACGAATGTTTATGTTCATGGAAAAGGTGACAAGGAACAAAGGGTCAACCTTTGGTTCGATCCATCCGCTGATTTTCACACTTATACCATTCTTTGGAACCACCACCACGCCGTGTAAGTAGACACATCTTGTAAAATCGATAAAAACATGGATTTGAGTTATATATACTGACCATATAGTTTACCTTGTTATAGCATATGACATGTTAAATAGTATCATTTTTCTATCCAAGAAATTTAGTTATGATTAACTTATTTGACCAGATGCAAGTAAGTATTACTGATAAACTGTTTGTACTATTGAAGATTCTACGTGGACGCAGTACCCATTAGAGTGTACAAGAACAACGAAGCAAAAGGAATCCCATTCCCCAAATTCCAACCCATGGGAGTGTATTCCACATTGTGGGAAGCCGATGACTGGGCAACGAGAGGTGGATTAGAGAAAATAAATTGGAGCAAATCCCCATTTTACGCATACTACAAGGACTTTGACATAGAGGGATGTGCAATGCCAGGACCAGCAAACTGTGCCTCAAATCCACGCAATTGGTGGGAAGGAGCTAATTACCAACAACTCAGTGCTGTGGAAGCAAGGCAATATCGCTGGGTTAGAATGAACCACATGATCTATGATTATTGCACTGACAAATCCAGAAATCCAGTCACCCCACCAGAATGTGTGGCCGGAATATGAAACTTTACATCAACTGTTAATTATTTATACATATTCATTCCAGCTGCTTATAGATATCCGTACGTACATGTGACCCTACAAAAGAAAGTTGTTATATTTGTATTGATATGGACAGTCATGCTCATGTCTGGATGCTCGGTGATATTGTGAACGTGAGATCAGTACTAAGATTAAGGAGTGAGCAAAAGTCAGATGTCCTCTTATTGCTGTAATATATTGTTGTTGTTGTTTGTATTTGCTGTACACTGTACGAGAGCCAATAATGTCTCGTCTTGTTTGATTGAGAAATGTGAAAAGGATGTGATGTTTATTGAGTTCTCGATGTTTATTCTTCTTTTGTTTAAATGGTTTTCAACCTCAAAGTAAATTGCTAACTCATCAAGTTCTAATTCTGGTGTGAACACTCTTGCTTGATCACTTCATGCATATGTGACCGTACCTCGCTCTTAGTTTGTCAAATGTTACATTTATATATTTAGAACAATTAAACTTTAAGTTTTTTCTATACTCCTAATTAATGAGATGATCCATAATCACACAAAATTTTATAACTTATTTTTGACGACATAGGACATCTCTTTCTTAAACTTCGTCACAAGTCAAATACCGTCGCATAAGTTCGAAAGGGAGGAGTAATATTCCGATTATCAACTGAAGAATAGACGTCGTCAATAGGAGCACTTGAGTTTTGCCGATCGAGTTGGCATGCCTAATACTTGTGAACTGTATCATAAGTTATTTAATGGATTAATCAAAGTGCGGATAATTTGATTCTAGATACTATCATCCTGAGAGAGAGAGAGATATGCATGATCCACAGTGACAATAAAACCTTCCTCAAATCACATTCCGATTAAACTTTATGTATTAACTGATCTGCAATTCAGATATTAGGCAAATTTTACGCATTAACGTAAAATTGGGAAAATACATAAGAAGTATATTTTCCTATGGTCTATAACAATAATTTGGCTCGGGAAAGTTAACCTTAGATTTTCAGGGAATTTATTCATGAATCTTTTAGTTGAAATTTTCTGAATTTCTTGTTATGTAGGTAATGTACATACATAAACTTTGTTAGATGGACAAATATGTCCTCCCTAATACGAAGCAGGAGGAATGTGAACGCAGTGGCAGATATAGCTTATTAGTTGTGTGTCAATCAAACTCATTATTTCAACATGGAACAAGGATATATATATATATATATATATATATATATATATATGTGTGTGTGTGAAATATCACTAAAATTTTAACAAATATTTATTTTATGAACTCAAAATGTTAAAAGCCATCAAAAGCCCGAAACATTTCAATATTAAAAACTTTAAAAAGCACACATATAAAATTTAAATTATAAACTCACCTCTAAAAGAACGTTAAATCTGCTCAAGTGCCGTAATACCAAACCTAATCACTGTCTCCTACAAAGCAAGAGAAAAGTAGACAGGACTGAGGACCATAAGTTGTCTATTAATTTACAGCTGAAAGTTGAATAGTATGATCACCATAACTCTAGCTTTAGCTTTTGTTAAGTCAACTAAATTAGTCAAAAGTTATATTTATTTAAGTCGCGTCTAATGTTTTAATTGATGCTTTTTGTCTCTGTTATCAAAAGGATCTAATCTAATTAAATGACTCATTCATTTACGTTCCGAATCGGTATATTATACCGTTAATCGTGTAAGCTTACCAGCTCATCTTGTTTGGGACGCAATACTAGCAAATTTACTGGAAGCTTTGTGTTGAAAAAATGTAACAACTTCTGGAATTCTTATTCTTATTACTTTCTCTTTCATTGAAGATTTCCTCTCCCTTTCTTAAAAGTTAAAACACAAGATCAAGAATGGGAAGTACTATTCCTACACCTCAGAGGCAGTCTATTGAATTTATATTATTTTCTCTTTCCTATCCATTTTATTTTTGAATTCTCATCTGAACAGGGAGTGTTATATTTTCCAAAATAGCAAGCTTATCTTGGTTCGGCTTAGGGTAAATAAATAACAAATGCAAAGGAAAATCGTCGTACGAAGTAATTATTCCTATATTGGACTTGATTTGATAAATTAAACCCACCGGGGGACAATAATGTTTTTTCATCTTTTTCGCAAGTAACTGTATTATCACCTAGTGTATAACTCCTTTTAACATAACATTGCTTACAAACAAATTCAATACCAATTTATAGGTAGTGTAATCTTATTTCTAATTTTATTAGTGTTAGAGCACAAGTAGTCAGACAATCAGTTGCAGGGAAAGTTACCATATCATCAATCAATTAATTGTCCTTCAAGGTTCAAGCTCAAAAGCTGGACGCGAATGCATTATATATTAGTAATTAACTTTTCATTACATGGGTAGAGCGTCTAAATCACTAGTCCATTTTCTCGTTGGCCCACTTATTCAATAGACTTAATTTGGTCAGTTTCATTTCAAAGCCAAAACTGTACTTTTTCTTATCATGTTCTCCTCCAATTGTGTTTTGCCACGTCAACTGTGATTAAGAAATGGCACTGCTGTTAGGGCACTGAAATCAAAGATTAACGTGGTGGGGGCGAACGGCACAAATAGCCACTAAAAGCTGTGGCTTTTATTTTAAAGCCACTGTTTTCAATATATTTAGACTTTAGCCACTCCTTTTAAAAAACTTATACCTGACTGGACTAAAATACCCTTCTGGTATAACTTATACCTACGCTATCAACACAAGCAGCAGTTACACAAAGAGAAGAAGCGAGCAACAGCAGCAGCGGCGATCAACAGAGTACGAACCACCATTTCTCTTCCTGATTTCAAAAATTCAGCAATCTAATCCAAAAAAACAACATAGATAAACAGTAAGTTGTAATTTCATGTGTTTCTATCAATTTTTATTTCGCTATAGTTATACTTTTTAAAATCTGTATTGATTTGATTATATATTAGATAAGAATTTGATTTTTTTTGAATTTCTGTATTCCGGACATAGTGTCTTCAATTTGGAAATTGAATTCAAAAAAATAAGAACATTTTTTTTCTGATTCAAAAGTTAAGGACTAGCAATCCTTAAGTTTTAATTCCATGTTTAAATGTTAAAGGACAAACAGTCCTTAGCTTTTAATTTCTGGTTCAAAAGTTAAGGACTGGTAGTCCTTAAGTTTTAATTCCATGTTTAAATGTTAAAGGACAAACAGTCCTTAGCTTTTAATTTCTGGTTCAAAAGTTAAGGACTGGTAGTCCTTAAGTTTTAATTCCATGTTTAAATGTTAAAGGACAAACAGTCCTTAGCTTTTAATTTCTGGTTCAAAAGTTAAGGACTGGTAGTCCTTAAGTTTTAATTCCATGTTTAAATGTTAAAGGACAAACAGTCCTTAGCTTTTAATTTCTGGTTCAAAAGTTAAGGACTGGTAGTCCTTAAGTTTTAATTCCATGTTTAAATGTTAAAGGACAAACAGTCCTTAGCTTTTAATTTCTGGTTCAAAAGTTAAGGACTGGTAGTCCTTAAGTTTTAATTCCATGTTTAAATGTTAAAGGACAAACAGTCCTTAGCTTTTAATTTCTGGTTCAAAAGTTAAGGACTAACAATCCTTAAGTTTTAAATTCCATGTTTAAATGTTAAGGACTGACAGTCCTTAACTTTTAATTCTATATTTAAATGTTAAAGGACAGGCAGTCCTTAGCTTTTAATTTCTGGTTCAAAAGTTAAGGACTGCTAGTCCTTAAGTTTTAATTCCATATTTAAAACTTAAGGACTGACAGTCCTTAACTTTTAATTCCATGTTTAAAACTTAAGGACTGNTAGATTTTTAATATTTATATCATGTTACGTTCTTTTAATTTCTTTAGAGTTCAACAATTAAAAGTTATTAACAGGAGTCAGTAAGTTCAACTTGCAATTTTGAAAACGTAATGACTGTCTGTCCTTAACTTTGAATTTCAAGTTCAAAAGTTAAGGACATGAGGTCCTTAAGTTATAGTCCCATGTTAAAAACTTAAGGACTGTCTGTCCTTAACTTTGAATTTTAAGTTCAAACGTTAAGGACATGAGGTCCTTAAGTTATAGTCCCATATTAAAAACGTAATGACTGTCTGTCCTTAACTTTGAATTTCAAGTTCAAAAGTTAAAGGACATGAGGTCCTTAAGTTATAGTCTCATGTTAAAAACTTAAGGACTGTCTGTCCTTAACTTTGAATTTCAAGTTCAAAAGTAAAAGGACATGAGGTCCGTAAGTTATAGTCCCATGTTAAAAACTTAAGGACTGTCTGTCCTTAACTTTGAATTTCAAGTTCAAAAGTTAAGGACATGAGGTCCTTAAGTTATAGTCTCATGTTAAAAACTTAAGGACTGTCTGTCATTAACTACAGGAGTCCTTAAGTTTGAAATACAAGTTAAAAAGTTAAGGACTGTCTATCCTTAACTTTAAATTTTAAGTTCAAACGTTAAGGACATAGGTCCTTAAGTTATAGTCCCATGTTAAAAACTTAAGGACTGTCTATTCTTAACTTTGAATTTCAAGTTCAAAAGTTAAGGATATGAGGTCCTTAAGTTATAGTCCCATGTTAAATACTTGAGGACTGTTTGTCATTAACTACAGGAGTCCTTAAGTTTGAAACACAAGTTAAAAAGTTAAGGACTGTCTGTCCTTAACTTTAAATTTTAGTTCAAAAGTTAAGGATATGAGGTCGTTAAGTTATAGTCCCATGTTAAATACTTGAGGACTGTTTGTCATTAACTATAGGAGTCCTTAAGTTTGAAATACAAGTTAAAAACGTAATGACTGTCAGTCCTTAACTTTGAATTTCAAGTTCAAAAGTTAAGGACATAGGTCCTTAAGTTATAGTCCCATGTTAAAAACTTGAGGACTATTTGTAATTAACTACAGGAGTCCTTAAATTTGAAATACAAGTTAAAAACGTAATGACTGTCAGTCCTTAACTTTGAATTTCAAGTTCAAAAGTTAAGGACATAGGTCCTTAAGTTATAGTCTCATGTTAAAAACTTAAGGACTGTCTGTCCTTAACTTTGAATTTTAAGTTCAAACATTAAGGACATGAGGTCCTTAAGTTATAGTCCCATATTAAAAACGTAATGACTGTATGTCCTTAACTTTGAATTTCAAGTTCAAAAGTTAAGGACATGAGGTCCTTAAGTTATAGCCTCATGTTAAAAACTTAAGGACTGTCTGTCCTTAACTACAGGAGTCCTTAAGTTTGAAATACAAGTTAATAAGTTAAGGACTGTCTGTCCTGAACTTTAAATTTTAAGTTCAAACGTTAAGGACATAGGTCCTTAAGTTATAGTCCCATGTTAAAAACTTAAGGACTGTCTATCC